CACCCTGACCCAGCAGACTGTCAGGGGTGCTGCTCAAGCCTTTGCTCTCATCATCTTTTCTGGAAATCAACAGATGCCCCCGGGGTATTGCTGCCTTGTCTTGGAATCTTGCTTCGCCTGGTAATTCTTCACTTCCTTGTCAGTTCTCTAAATCCTTCTCACAGACATTTGCTTATATTTCATCCAGATTTTCTAGTTGTCCTCAGCGAACCTAGTTCATATCACTGCAAGTGGCAGATCCCTTCATTGTTATTATTCTCTTTTACTCTGACATTTCTCCCCTATTATGCCTATTTCCAAGTTTTGACTTAAATGCCAGCCAGATTTGTTATTGGTCATCTTCTTATCACTATTGTTTCTCTGTAGAGAGTCAGGTTTAATAATAATTTTCTATAACATTTTAATAATAACATTCTGTAATATATTTAATAATAATAATTTGTAGTATATTTTGTAATAAAGCTTAAAATATCTTTGAAGCTTTAAATATTTTTTCCGGACTCTGAAAACAGACACTCTGGAAAAATATAAAAAAATATAGTGATAATTAAAGGTACAAGTCATCTACAAACCTACCACTTGGATTATAACATTGTATGTTTTAGTGTTTTTAGTCTGTTATCTATACATGTGAGCATATTCCAAATGTAAGTAATAAAATTCTAATCAGAGAACATTTTTAGACTGCAGTGTTCATTTAACATTAGAGTACTGTGAACATTTTCTCGTCGTTAGTGTTTTTTGAATATGATTTTTTGATGCTTAGTTTGGATTCTGTTATTCGGTTGTAATGTTATTTAGCCATTCTCCTACTTCTGTTTCAACTTTTCATAAAAGATAAGTCTGCAGAGATCATTTTTGGACACAACTTTCTGTGCCAATTATTGTGTCATTACTCTCAGTGGGTTTGAGTGTTCTTAAGTTTGTTTTATTGAGGCTTTGAAAAAGGGATAATTACATTTTACAGTTTCACTGGTTTAGATTCCAGCTGAAAGTGTCACTGTTCATCTAGGACAGTGGTTCTCAACCTTCTGGCCCTTTAAATACAGTTCCTCATGTTGTGACCCAACCATAAAATTATTTTCGTTGCTACTTCATAACTGTAATGTTGCTACTGTTATGAATCGTCATGTAAATATCTGATATGCAGGATGGTCTTAGGCGACCCCTGTGAAAGGGTCGTTCGACCGCCAAAGGGGTCGCCACCCACAGGTTGAGAACCGCTGATCTAGGATCTGCTATGACAAGAGTGAAGTGCACTTTGGATTCCAGGAGGATCTATGAGGAACTAGATAAATGCCGCCTTAAGTAATTGGGAGGAAGTTGAATTGAGTTACATATGGAAGTAATCATTGTCAAGAACAAGAAAAAATATGTGACACCCCAGGAACACTTTGTAAACAGAATAGGAACAGTGTGTACACCACCTACCAGAACAGACGAAGCAAGTCCAAATGTACCCTCAATGAGCACTAACTGAATGGGAAATTAAATACACCCTCTCTTGCTTTTCCATGTAGATTGGCTGTGGCCATTACATAGTCTGCTGCTGGCCGGCCTTACCATCTTCCTGGTTCTCATTTGTGGTGACATTTCATTCTTAGAACTGATGATTGGGTAATTTTCATTTTCTCTCTTTGGTGAAGTTCTTCTCACCCAGTGTTTGTGGGCCTTTCACTTTAATTGACCTTTTCCATCTGACCCTGCTCAGTTAGTTGTTTCCATGGCTTGTCCTGCCCCCTCCCCCTCCCCCCCCTTCCTTGCACAGACCTGGGTCCTCCTGGATCACCCTATCACCCTGCTGCATTCACATCACCCATGGCATGCCAAATTCCACCCAACAGTTGGGGTTTTGCATAATTTTACGGTAAATATGTGTCAACACACCCCTTCTATTATGAAATACTCTGTGATTAAAAGAGCACAGTGGTGAGTCATATGTGCTGTGTCCTGACCTTACCATCACATCTTAATTTTTTTTAAATTAATATATTTTTATTAATTTCAGGGAGGAAGGGAGGGGGAGAGAGAGATAGAAACATCAATGATGAGAGAGAATCATTGATCGGCTGCCTCCTGCACGCCCCTTACCGGGGAGTCGAGCCCACAACCTGGGCATGTGTGCTTGACTGGAATCGAACCTGGGACCCTTCAGTCTGCACGCCAACATTCTATCCATTGAGCCAAACCAGCCAGGGCCATCATATCTTCATTTCGCTTCTTTCTCTGGACTGTCTCATGAACAAGGGCACCTGGAAGGGGGCGTGGCCCCAGGACTGTGATCTATGGCTTGTGAGCACAGAGAGAAGGGCCATCGGGCTAGTGGAGCAGCAGCCAGTGATAGTTACGGGAGCAGCTAGGGCACAGCCCGGTGTCGGAACCAGGGCCCACTCTGGAGTGAGAAGAACACACCAGCCCATAGCCAGGACAGCGTCGTCAGGAATGATGTGATGTGTTCAGGACTGGACACAAGACGAGGTGGTGGCAGTCCTCTGTCAGAGCGGGAGGAGGAGGCCTGGGAACCAAAGGATGAGTACAAAGAGGATCAGAGGCCAGATGGACTTGGACGCCTGCGCGTACTCTTCAACACACTGTGTCTAGAATCCGCCTTGTCAGAGTCCTTCACACGCTCTTCCTTATTTCTGATGATGACAAGATGTATCTGGTCGCCCAGGTTTGAAATCTGAGAGTCTTGTTTGCTTCCCTTTATCTTTGCATCTAGTCACTTTCTAAGTCTCTGAAAATTCCACCTCCATGTGGACAAGCCTGGGGTTCAAACCAGGGCTCTTCCACACACAGGACCTAGCATAGTCCCTTAACCTTTCAAGCTGACGTGTAAGATGACAATTAGAGGTGAGCAGGTGCCACCTTATCAGCTCTCAGTCGGACTATTGCAGTGGCTTCCAGGTGGGTTCCTCATCCACGTGAGCCTCCCCGTCTCCTCCAGCTTGAACTTCTGATGACATAGCTCTGATCATGGCAGATCGCACCTCAGAAACCTTTAAGGCATCTTCATTAACTGTGAATAAAGCCCCAAATTCCTTCCTATCCTGGTGTGGAGGACCCTCTACCATGTGGTGCCGCTTGCATTCCTAGCTTCGCTCCCTAACTGTCCCATCCCTATACTGTGTTCCAACCAAGTTGGACCATTTGCTGTTTTTAGCACAGGCTCCTGTCCCAGTGGCCTTGCTCATATCTGAGCTTGTTCTTTATGCCTCTGAGGTTCCCACACCTTCTCTGCTTCCCGGGCCCTGTCCAAATACTACCCCGGTTGCACCTCCCAGCGACCCCTCTCAGCCATAGGCCTCAGTAATGTCTTCCTTGGAGCTTCGGCTCCTTCTCTGGATTTTTGTCGTGTTTACTGCTTGTCGCTCTGTGTTATTTGGGTCCGTGACTTGTTTAACTTCCTGTTCTCAGTCCTGGAGAGCTCTTCCTAAGCGCTCAGCAGATGCCTGGTCTGTTATAGGCAGTTAGTAAAATGTATTGTCAGTAAGCCAGGCAAGGGCATAGCAACATGCTGATTAAGGGGTGATAGGTCCCTGGGAACTGAAAGGACAGGAAAGTCCTGAATAACCCTGGCTCAGGAGAGCTGATGCCAGCCAAGACCTTTTTATATGGTTCTTGCTGAGGTGTGAAGAGGCGAGGGAAATGCCCTGGTCGGGTAGCTCAGTTGGTGAGAGTGCCTTCCCTATATGCCAAGGCTGCAGGTACGATCCCTGGCCAGGGCACATACAAGAATCAACCAATGAATGCATGAATAAGGGGAACAACAAATCGATCAGGGGGAAAAGGAGATAAGGGAACTCACTTGAGGGGCTGTTATATGCCAGTCACTCTGCCAGGCTTTTTACCATAAATTTTGCATGTGAATGCCCATCGGATCTTATTCTTCCTTAGTGTTCTCCACTGGTGCCTGTTACACTTACACAATCCATCTCCACACCCAGCCCTGTGGGATGCCCAAGTCTGGACCTTCTGAGACTAGACAAACCTTACCACCTCCTCACTTTTCCTCTTTTCTCTTCCCTTCCCTATTACACCCCTTCATGAACGCACAGCCCGTGAATCCCAAAAGTACGTCTTTCCTTTTCAGCCGTGAAGCTGACCTCATTGTGAGGGTATTTTTTTCCATTGGTTTTTCAGAGAGAGAGTGGAAGGGCAGGGGAGAAACAGAAACATCGGTGTGAGAGAGACACATTGATTGGTTGCCTCCTGCACGCGCCCCAACCAGCGCCAGGGATCGAGCCTGCAACCCAGGACCGAGCCCTTGACTGGAATTGAACCTGAGACCCTTCAGTCCATGGGCCAATGCTCTATAAGGATTGAGCCAAACCGGCTAGGCGGGCATGGGCAGTGTTCTTAACCCTGAGCCTCAGTTCTTTCATCTATAAAATGGGATAATACAGCACCTACTTCATTAGGTTATTGCAGAGAAGATCCACATAAAGCACTTAGCACAGTGCCGGAGTGTTTTCCATGTTGAATCTTTAGTAGTGATGCTATTTTTTAAGATAGAGAACAGAATAAGAAGCACAGAGGTGGGAGATCTTCAGGAAGATGATTTCCTCTCAGATGAGCTGAGCTTGAAGTGCCCAAGGGAGATGCATTCGGCAATACCTAGGAGACAAGTGTGGGCCCGGGACAGAGAGGGGCTCGTGTGCTACTGCAGGATCCAGGATCCTGGCAGTGCCGCTGAGCTTGGCCCCCCTCTCTGACCCTTTCCTGCATCTCAGAACTCTGCCTGAGCTTGTGAAACACGTCTCATCACCTGCAGACACTCGCTCATGCGCACGTACGGGGCTAAGTGCTGGAGGCCCGTTGTGCGTTTCCAACCGCCCGCTGCTGCGGGTGCTCGTGCTGGGTGCTCGCTGCTCCGGATGCGGGCTGAGCGGGCAGTGAGGTCTCTGGAGGTTAAATCCCCTGTGGTCAGTGTACTTGTCTTTGGTAGGGACTGTCCGCAGGGAACGTGACTCACATGTTTTCTTTCTGACTGCGTGCAGGTCATCAATGCCGTGGTGCTGTTGATTCTGCTGGGCTCCCTGGCGGATCCCGGCCAGCGTCGCTTTTCGAGTTCGGAGCTGGGAGGTGACTTAGAGTTCATGGATGACGCCAGTAAGTACATCAGGCGGCAAGTGTAGACATTTTGGTATTTGCAAGGGCAGGGAATCCGGCTTCCAGTCCTTCCTATTGAATTACAAGTATTGACTCGTGGGCCCATAGGAACTGATATTTAACTTCCCATCGTTACAAACCAAATCAAATAAGTCTTTGTGTGCTGCTGTCTGTGTCCTCAGTGTAGGAGTCTAAATAAGGCTTCTTTTTCCTGTTTTCGTCTTACATTAACTTGCCCCTTTTAAAAACGAATTGCTTTGTCATCATCTTTTTTACCCTGGCCTTTGGGTCTTTTAGGGAGGAGGCGGGATAGAGATAAATGGCAGGATGGAAGGTTAAAAGGCTAATGCAGGTCTTACTGCGTCTGCTATTGTTTCAGTATTTACCTTTCTTCCAGGAGGTGATCATTCTCCGCCTGGAAACCATGTTGGTGGTGATTGGGTGGATTTGAGGCCTTTTTCTGATAAATAGAAGCATAAGCCAGGCACCCAGCTTTAAGGTCACAGAAATCTGAATATTTTATTATCACAGTCTCACTGTGTCCTTTCTGTGCCTAGTCCCAGACAAAAGGTCATGCAAATGTATTTCTCACTGGCTTTGAGAAATACATTTTAAATACATTTGGGGGAAAAAAAAATTGTTGCTGGGCAAATAAGAGGGGAGGGAGAATGGCTCAAGAAGCAGTTTTAGAGACTGGGAGTATTTGTTGACCATAAACAAATAGCCAGTTATTTCTCCAGCAAAATGGGTTTATTCCAGAATAACCAGGAATTGCAATTCAAGACATGGGGTCTAATGGTGAACCACCTCAGATCCAGAGAAAGGACATCAAAACATGTGAAAAGGAAATACAAGATAAAGGAAGTTTAGTTAAAAAACAAATCATTCAAATGACAGAGCAGGAAGAGCCTTCCTCTGCGGTGCCTGCAGCCATGTGGAAAGCCCCAGCTGACCAAACTTTTTCTTTTTTTCCCTATTTTGCAGATTTTTTTCTAATTGTGCAGATTTGTCTTTCTAGTCAGCCGTATTTGTATTTTATTCACTGGGTAGATGCATCTGATTAGGAAAAGATACCGCTCCATTTATTGGAGAAAGGATGGTCTTTTCAATAAATGGTTTATGTAACATCTCATCCTCTGCTTACTAGCTGGGCAGCCTTGGGCAAGTTTTCCTTTTTCTCTAAAAGGTAATCATAGTACCTACCTTTTAAGGGTGCCATAAGGATTAAATGAAATAACAATGCCTAGTTCACTGAGGAGAATGGGGAAAAGAGAAAGCAGACCGCGTACATCCCACTGTGCTCAGAGCTTTATGCAGGACGAGCATGCGCTGGAATGGGCGTGTGTAACCCGAGACGTTCCCTTTGCATTTAAGGCATTTAAAATGCATTCACGTTTACTCCCTCCCCTGGCTCTACAAGAATGCGATGAGGCATTCATGAAATTCCCGTGTGGGTACTTCTTTCCTCACTAGAGGGAAAAGGTACATTAGTTTAGCGTTGAAATTATAACATAAACTATAAATATGTATGTATTCCAAAAGAAATCATGATCTTTTAGGTACTAGTCTGAGGCTATCCTAACCTTCATTTCTTTTTCTTTCTTGAGAATCAGATTTTCACTCTAATAAAAATCATTAGCGCCCAGCCCAGCCAGTGTGGCTCAGTGGTTGAGCCACTGACCTATGAACCAAGAGGTCATGGTTCGATTCCCGGTCAGGGCACAAGCCGGGTTTCCAGCTTGATCCCCAGTAAGGGGCGTGCAGGAGGCAGCCAATCCATGATACGCTCTCATCATTGATGTTTCTCTCCCCTTCTCTGATCCTCTCTGAAATCAATAAAAAAATTTTTTACAAAATCGTTAGTATTGTTATAAATTTACTGCATTAAATCTGTAGAACAAACTGAGGAACGTTCATTTTTTAAGATGGCAAATGGTCTTGGTTGACGTGTTTGCATTTCTGTCCTAGCATATACTTCCACCCTGTGCTTCTGTTCTTAAACCTCCTGCTTAAATGTTGAGGCTAAAGAGAGGATGGTTCTGCACTGGAATCCTTTCCTTTGGAGAAATCCCCTGTAGGAAGTCAGCAGCCTGGCTGGCTCATGGTCACTATTCAAAGGTTAGATAGAAGTGGCATGTACAGTAGAAAGAGCCCGAGATGGCAATCGTAAGAGCAGCGTTAGTCATCGTTCAGCTTTCTGTGCAAATGCTCTCAGCAAGTTACATAACCTCTGAGCCCTAGTTTCATAATCTGCTCTGTGGGAACAGTAGCATGCCTGGGAGTTAGGGCGACTGAAGGAGATGTCCGTGAAATGGCTCAGAAACTGTCGCATTGGACAGACCTTTCCTGCGTGTCATCAGTATAACAATTATTAAGGAGATATTTTATATTCTCTCCTTTTTTTTTTTTTTTTAAACTAATTCCTTGGAATCCGGAGTATACTTTAATCTTACAGCACATCTCCATTCAGATTGACCTCATTCCAGATGCTCAGTGTCCGCACGTGGCCAGTAGCTACCATACGGGCTCTCTGTCCTCTTCTCAGAGTTGAGGTCGTAGTTGTGAACAAGATGTAGAAAGCCTTTTCCCTCCCCAGGTTCCTCTAGCGGAGGGAGACAGACAACACACCACAAATGTGGGTACGATCACAGCGACATGCCATAAAGAAAATGCAGTCGTGATGTGGGCGTGCCTGGGAGGTGTTGCATCGAGCTGGGGCCTGCCCGGTTCAGAAGGCAGAGCCAGCCCTGTGAAAATCTGAGTGACGTTTCTTCCAGTCAGTGGGCGTGGCCTCAGGTGGGATGGGTGATCTTGTGTTCAATGAACCAAATGGCACGGCTGGATCTTAGAGAACAAGAAGGTGGGATGAGGTCTGAAGAGACTGGAGGAGTAGACCTGCTTTATCGTTTCTCGCTTGTTTTGTTAATCCTCACTTGAGGATTTTTTTTCCCCCCCATTGGTTTTTAGAGAGAGTGGAAGGGAGGGGTAGAGACCGTGGGAAACACCGATGTGAGAGAGACTGGGCCTGGGGATCGAGCCTGCAATCGAGGTTCGTGCCCTTGACCGGAATCAAAGCCGCAACCCTTCAGTCCAAAGGCCGAGACGCTGTAACCACTGAGCCAAGCCGGCTGGGGCTAGACCTGCTTTAGAATAAGCAGAGACAGGAAGGCCATGATAAGAAACTGAGGTTTTATATTAAATGAGATGGGAAGCCAGTGGAGGGTTTTAATAGGGGCATGAGGCACACATGAGTGTATAAAATACAAGTTAGACACCTACATATTTTAAAAAACAACAGCTATCATATAATTCAGTGGACCAGACGTCCAACTTTTTAGATCTATCTCTAACCAATATCGCTTTCCCATTTTTGAAATAAACTTATATGTAAACCAGTCTCTCACCTACAGGCATTTCTATGATTTAGGGAGAACATCTTTTGAGCCTCACTTTCCTTAACTCTCATCTTCTCAAATTCCAAAAGATCTCTGCTGCTTTACTTAGTATGAAGGGCCCTCACTTTGTAATTGGTTTAGAGACAAAGTGCCTTTGTGGAGAGACTAAAGAAATGCTTAGACAATGGATCTACTGATTTTTTTTTTTTTTTAACCTTTGGCAGACATGTGCATTGCTATCGCAATTTCTCTTCTCATGATCCTGATATGTGCAATGGCCACTTATGGAGCGTACAAGGTAAGCAGCTTTGCAGTCAGCGGAGCCTTCGGGAGGCTCAGACACAAAGCCCACTCCCGGAGGGGACTCTGGCCATGTCGCCCTGGCCCAGCGTAAATTAAGTCTAGTGAACAGGAGGGCCTCGGGCCCTGGCCTGTTGGCTAGATGCCCTCGATGCCCCATTGTTCCTGAGCTGCCTAACCAGAATTTCTTGCCAGGTGTGTTCAGCTCTTCCTCAACCCCCTGTAAGCCACTCATCCTCACTTCGGAAGTCCAATACCTCTTCCTCCCCTTTTTTTGTCCAAAATATGTCATAATACACCCAATGTTGCCTCAATTCCTCCCCATGAGCATGGATTAAAAGTCTGATTTTTTTTTCCTGTTTAAAAAAAAAAAAATGGAACGAAGCGGGGCCTTTCCTCCATCCCTTGCATGTGTGATCTGTACAGCTGTCCGTAAGGAGTCCGATGCCTTCACTCTAGGTTTTCTGAGCGGATCTTTGAGAGTGTAAGTCTCTCGTGAATATGGTGTCGTACTAGGAAAACCAATGTAGTCTCAGAGATGTTCGCTGCATTTCTTCATTGACTTCCATTTGGCTTACCAGTTGCCCTCGTGGCCTGGCTTAGTGGATGCTATTTCTCCGTTTCCCTTCAGATTAAGAAAAAGTCTCTCTGAAGGAAAAGAAATCCCGTTTGGTGATTTTGAACGTGATGGGCATTAACGTCCTGTTTTCTGTTTTCTCCAGCGACGTGCTGCCTGGATCGTCCCTTTCTTCTGTTACCAGATCTTTGACTTTGCTCTGAGCGCCTTGGTCGCCATCACTGTGCTGGTTTATCCGAACTCCATTCAGGAGTACATACGACAGCTGGTATGTGGCCGCCCCCGTCACTGCATCTCTTCCCGAGGCAAACCTGGTTAAGTAGCAGATAAGAGGTATCCAGATAGGCATGCACACATATTAATTTGTGGATTTTTTTTTAAGTCAGTATTGTAACTTTTTAAAAAATATGTGTTTTTATTGATTTCAGAGAGGAAGGGAGGAGAGAGAGATAGAAACATCAATGATGAGAGAGAATCATTGATCACTGCCTCCTGCACACCCTCCACTGGGGATTGATCCCGCAACCCGGCCATATGCCCTCGACCAGAATCGAACCCAGGACCCTTCAGTCCACATTCTATCCACTGAGCCAAATTGGTTAGGGCTAATTTGTGGATTTTTAACTTGCATCTGAGTTAGTGATTAGAGGCTTTTTGATGTTACCACGGAGATAAGATTTTTGGTTTGTTAGAGCACTCTTTGGAAAACCAACCTCCTGAGATAAGTTGGTGGCTGAGGTGATGGTATTAGATGCACCTCCCTGACTTATAAGCTGGTTGCTAATTGTCCTATTTTTGTGAAATGGAATTTGCTCAGTTAGCAGCAAAGGGTAGCTTTTTGCCTCAGCTGCTGTACGGGAAAAGTGGGACTTGGCTACATGCTGCGTCCCAGACTTATGTGGCCACAGAGCTTTCTTCCCCCAGCAGTTTTTTAGACCAGTTTTCTGCATGTCCTTTGTAACCATTATGCAAATATTGAGGGCTGGGTTTTGAGAAGTTTGGGAAGGGTGTGAGAATAGAATACTTCTGTCTTTTACATTTAAAAAAAATATTTTTATTGATTTTTAGAGAGAGAGGAAGAAGGGAGGAGGGATAGAGGGATAGAAATATCATTAATCAGCTGCCTCCTGCACGCCCCCTACTGGGGATCGAGCCCGTAACCCGGGCATGTGCCCTGACCAGGAATCGAACCAGCGACTTCTTGGCTCATAGTTTGACACTCAACCCCTGAGCCATGCCTGCTGGGCTGTTTTTATTATTACTTATTAGTTATTGTATTATTTTCCATACAGGCGACCTTTTTTTGCCCCACCCTGTGTATGACCCACAGGTTGTACAGAATCCTCTGTCTTGAAGGACGTGTGTGTTTACTCAGGGATGATGATCTGGTGCTGGGGTCCGGACGTCCCCCTCGGAGGTGTGGAGGGAGCATGATCTCCACGGAGCCTGCCATGTGCGGGCCTGGGAAAGGGGTGCTGAGTCTGTTGTGTGCTCCAGCCCATCCCTTGGCAGAGATTTATAAATAGGACCGGAGAGCCTCATGGGCAGGCCAGCGTTCAGAGCACTGCGGATACTGCCTAGACTTACTGCTGTGCCCACAGGGCTCAGTCACTCGGTACTCATTCTGGAGCTGCTGGTAGTAAAATGACGATATTGTTCATGCTGGCAGGAATTGTAATAGCAAAAAAACCCCCCATCTACTTCTATTTGTAATTACAAACCAAATAAAACAAGTGAGGACTTTGTACTTAGAGATCCGCCTGGGCTGAAAGAGTGAATGAAGCCTACAGACGGTCTCAGTGCCTGCGAGACAGTAATGAGAGGACAGTCGGGAGCCGCCGATTCAGAGGCCCTTGTTGACACGTTGAGAAATAATGAGTCCGAGAGACGGTTGTCTGAGGCGGTGGGGGAAGGCACCCACCACGCCTTTTCTGTTTACGTGGAGCCTTGTGAAATGTCGCTGAAACGAGCTGTGTGCGTGTGTGGGTCTCAGCTGGACTCAGACACCCCCGCCACTTTCCTGGGGGAATGAGCGTAAAGTCTTTATGGAAAAGGGTCCCATGCTTCCACTTTCATCCTTTTTTACGAGACACGGAAACCATATGATTTCATGTTCTCTGTGAACAGCAGCTGGTTTTATTCTTACCCGATACGCTAAGGACTCCGAAACCCTTCCGGGCTCCCCGGGAAGGGACCCGTTTCACGGGCCGATCACCAAGAATGACTTAGGTTTATTTCTTACATGTTTTGCCCACAGTGAAAGGAGACTCTGAACATCACTGAGTGGTGCTCACCCCCCGGGAGGTGGAACCAAGCCCGGGGTGGGGAGGGGGGTAGTTACGAGTTTTCTCTGGATCCTTCCTTATCATTTGGGACGACTCTTTTGTGTCTCAGGGTATGGCTAATACGGAGTCCAAATACATAGCCCTGGCCGGTGAAGCGATGAAAGGCCACAGTGCACTGGGCAGCCTTCCCGCGCCCTTTCCTCAGCCAGTTAAACGCTGGGCTTGGCTCAGTGCCGGCCGGTGTTTCATGGCAAAGCTCCATCTCCACGCCACCCCCCTCCTCCCCCTCGCCCCAGCCCCCCAGAGCACCAGATTTTACTCTTCCTGAAAACTTTCCTTTGACCTGGTGGTTAATCAGTGGAACTTGATTATTCTTAGCAAAGATTCTGCTCTTTGAGGAAAATAGCATCAATAAAAGTGGTCTATATAAAGAAGATACCAACTTTATTTTATTTATTTTAAAATATATTTTTCCTTTATTTCCGAGAAGAAGGGAGAGGGAGAGAGAGAGGCAAACATCAATGATGAGAGAGAATCATTGATCACCTGACTCCTACACACCCCCTCCTGGGGATCGAGCCCACATTCCGGGCGTGTGCCCTGACTGGGATTTGAACCATGACCTCCTGGTTCATAGGTTGACGTTCAACCACTGAGCCACACTGAGCGGGCAAGAAGACTAATTTTAATAGTTTTTTCCCCTTTGCCCTGCACAAGCTCTTGAGCCAGAATTCGCAGGCAAATCCAAGTATCAGAGGTGTGTAAAGACTACTGCCTTTCAGTTTTTTGTATAGTAGGAGGGCACAGGTATGTTTTCAGGTCTCAGGAATCTTCCTCTGATTGTTCTTTTTGAGAGTAATTGCCTGAATTATGAGTGGACTAGCCTCTCCTTACCACGCCGTTTGTAGCTTTTCATTCGGAGAAGTAGGCTAGACATTCTAGGGGTCTTTAATAGCTGCCTGCCCTCACTGTTTTCATAAGCACATGTGATTAATGCCTAGGGAATATAATTCTGAGTGTTAATGCGTTTTGCTAATGAGGCACTTTCCTTTTGCAGCCTCCTAACTTTCCCTACAAAGAGGATGCCATGTCAGTGAATTCTACCTGTTTGGTCCTTGTTGTTCTTCTGTTTATCAGCGTTCTCTTGGCTTTCAAGGTAAGAATAAAGATTTTACTTCTTGCCTTATTGTTAAACGTATTCACAAATGCCACAGAAGTACACAGACTTCAGTCAGCTCATTCTCTTGCTTAGATATCTGAACTGCTTTTGGATTTCCTGACATTCTGTTCCTTCTCTTATCTGCATGAGATAAACACTCACCAAACTTCCATAGGCCCATCCAGTCAAGGGTTATTCCAAAATCTATTAGGATGAGAAAAAAATTAATGTCATTCCTTATGTAATATCCTATATAATAAAAGCCTAATATGCAAATCGGCCGAATGCAGAAAGACCCTAGGAACGACCGATTGCTATGACGCTCACTGACCACCAGGGAGCAGACGCTCAACGCAGGAGCTGCCCACAGGCCCCAGGCCAGCCAAGGCAGGTGTGAGCAGGGCCCCCCTCCAATCGCCCTGCAGAGGGAGGCAACTGGTGGCGGAAGGGGGCAGGGCTGGCCAAGGTGGGTGCCAGCAGGGCCCCCCCCCCCAATCACCCTGCTGGTCACCCCACAGATGGGCCCTGATTGCCGGCCAGGCCTAGGGACCCTACCCATGCATGAATTTCATGCACCTGGTCTCTGGTATATTATATGCTGCAACATTTATTTCAGGGTTTTTAATTTGTTTTTAAAATGCAATATATTCTGAACATCATTGTTGAACAGTCTATTATATCAACTTATCATTATTTAATAAATTACTTGTTGGACATTGAGACAGTTTCTACTTTTTCACTTATTAATATTGCTACAATGAATGCATTTAGATACATCTTTTGTATAGTTAGGCGTTCCGCAAGATGCATTTCGTAAAATTAGAGGGAATGCATAATTCAAAGGCTTTTGACAGGCTGCCAAATTGAGCTCCACAGAAGTTGAATGACAGTACTCCTGTCAGCAAGTGTTCCTCATTTGTTTTCACCTTGTAAACCTGATAATAGACACATCACTATAATCTATTCATGTGTGCTACTAATAAGTAGAAAATTCTCAGTTTATTGTTGGACTTTGAACTTTTAATTCTTAATATCATAAAAATCACCCAATTCTTCAAAAAAAATCAAACCTCAGGAAGCTTGAGGAAGCTGTGTTTAGGGAGAAAAATCATTTTAAATAGGTAATATGATGAAGTGGCTCCTTCAAAGAAAAGGATTCATTGAAAATCATTTAGGTCTACATTTCCCCTTACAAAACAGAGTATGTTGATATTGCATGTGTAGTTTGGTAGTCAAGGATTTGGGTGCATTTTATGCACAAATGTTGAGGCTTACTGCTTCTGCAGCTCCTCCCCTTCTCTCCCCCAACTTCCTGGCTGCTCTGTCAACCCCAACTACTGTCCTTGGCCACCCGACCACCCAGGCTGTGTGTAGATATGGCAGGACCCCAGGCCAAAGGCCACAGACTCTCAAATCCCACTTAGTGCCTTTGTCTTTGAAGGGTAGATTCCCTGTAGCTTAGCTTCTGCCTGGTATTGGTGCTTTTCCCTTGCTTTTACATTATGTGTGTGTGTGTGTGTGTGTGTGTGTGTGTGTGTGTGTGTGTGTTTCTGGCTTTATCAGTTTTACCTGCAAGAAGAAGGTTCATCTGACAAGCTACTCTCTGCCATTACCAAAGGCTCAGAGGCTGGAGCCTCCCAGTGCTCGTAAGAAAGGCATTTTCATTTATATTGAAAATGCTTACTTGAGATTTTGCGTCAGAGCACCTAGATTTACCTCCTATCACTGCTATTTCCAACTGTGACCATGGCCTTGGTGTCTTCATTTATCAAATAGCAGTGGTAGTTCAGAAAACAATCTGTAGGGGACTGTGAGGTTTAAGTGAGGGAACGCACATATGGCAAGATCCATTGTTCCTTCATTTATTCAGTAACTATTTATGAAGGGTCTCCTATGTGGCTTCACATAGGAATATACCCAGGAGTGTCCCCGATTAGTGGCCTCACGACCTACTTTTCTCTGTTACTCATCGATAAGGTTTGTCACCACTCCAGTTCCCTGGGAGTCGACACCAGCACACGACAGTTGCACTTGGTCCTAGGACAGTAGAGGGAGCTATGCTTACCTCCTAGCTCTGCTGGACAGAAGTAGTCAGTGCAGGTTTATTTGGGAAATCCACTAAATTCTCTTCCAGGTTACAGAAATGTCAAATAAGAAATAAAGTCACTGAAATAATCATTGGGTTTTTAGAGACAGTAGACCCGAAGTTTCCCATTGGAATGTTTATTGAGTGAATGCTGCTGACTGGGAATTTGGGAGCAATAAATGTGTTTGGCAATTGCTACTACCTTTTCTTTCAATTTCTTGTTCTGCTCTCAGCCCCTCTCTACTTCCACCACCTACAGAGGTGGTGTGATAGAAAAAGGCTAGCGTGGCACCCTTTGCCAGAAAGGTAGTGTACCCAATATTTGTAAGTTTAAAGTCTTTTTAGTGTAGAAGAGTCAACATGATGCGTTTATAATTTATGTACATAAAGGGTTTGTAATGTGGCTTTATCTATGGTGACATTTGACGTCTGAAATTTGAAAATTAAAGATCATATAATCACTACTACTTCCAGGGTTACTTGATTAGCTGCGTTTGGAACTGCTACCGGTACATCAACGGCAGGAACAACTCCGATGTCCTGGTGTATGTTACCAGCAATGACAGCACGGTAGGTGCCACAGTTACTGCAGGGGTCTCTACATGTCTGAGGGTTTCCGCATGTTTCTAGCGTTGGCTCCGTTTTCACAGTTGTTGAAACATTATCATGAACTGCTTAGTCATGAGAGGATTGGTAGTTGAATGAAATGTTTCATTTTCCTTAAAGTATGTTAAAATTCAGATCACTCAACTTCTGGTTTATTTTAAAAAACCATTACAGATAGAAAATATATGAACCTTCTCCATATTTATGTATCTTAAACCTGAGTTATTAAACCATGGTCTATAAATAATTCTGCATAGTGTGACTATGTTATCTCACTTAACATATGAAATAAAACCTAGAAAAGTGGTGTGATAGGTGGGGAAATCAGAATGGCAGAGGAACTATGTCTTTAAAACTTGCCCTGCATAGGGAAACCTCCGTAAAAGAATTTAGGTGATCTCTGTTCTGGTCATCGTTGTGCCTCTCAAATATGATTTTTGGAGCACATGTCTTCTCTGGAAGAGTCTTGGAAATCATTTGCAGTTTATGCCATTTATTTTACACTGACCGCTCACGGTAAGGTAAAAGTGTGAGTCCTCCAGGTGTTAACATCATGTCTGTCCACCGCCTTTGCATTGAGCACAGTGCCTGGCGCTGTGATCTGTACAGGTACGAGCTCAAGGAGTAGCTAACAAAAAGGATGGGGCTGAGCATGTGGGCGGAGGGGGTGGGGGGGTGGGACGGACGCGGGGATGGGTACTATTGCAGGGGATAGAATGGACAGGACAAAAGAAGGGTAAATATGAATGGCAGGCCAACTCTAAAGTAGAATAGGGTTTTATATTTTGCTTTGTTTTTTGAGTTCTGTAACCTGTCCCTGCCTTTACTTTCCTGTGTATAAAATGGGGAGAAAACAATTTCAGACTTTATGTCAAATACAGAAGCACGGTGATGTTGCTGAGGACTCTGGGCTTTCTGAAAGCATGTTATTCACGAATAGTTTTCTTAAGTACTCACCAAGCATTTGTTGAGTTGAATCAAATATGCATGGGCAGAGGTTTAAGAAGAGGCTTCGCCTTGAACAGAGGCACAAAACCCAGCATGCCCAGGTGCTGAGGGACCCTTTCCGGGGTCTGCAGGATGCTATGCACTGATTACAGTAAACACATATTCGACTCAACTTCCTGAAGAATTTTGCTTGAATCAGTAAGCTTCTTTAAAGAAATGACTTCAATTCAAAGTCATTATAATTTTGATAAAATTGCTAGCTTAAGAGAATGTTTTTCCTTCCAAGTTTCTAGGTTTTTATTTTATCTATAAGTCTCTCTCTTTCTTCTTTTCCTTTAAATCTGTATACACATATTGTCCTGCTTGACTAATGAAAAGTCTAAACAAAGTTTGAGATTTTTGAGTTTGAGGAACCAATGAAGTTACTAAACAGGCAAGATCTATCAGAAACTTTCCCTAAATATCGTGATGGGTAGGACTTAAAAAGCTATACTATTTTAGAAGTTCCTCAGAGAAGATAATGTCCATATTGCATGTCTTTGGCATACACTTGGCGGTGGTTTTTTAGTGCTTGCTTAAGGGTTGTATGTGTATTTTTAATAGAAGCAAAGTGGAAAGACTACAAAAATACACACATTTACAATATACTTCAAATCAAAGGATATTCTGAAATTTGTAGGAATTGAGGTGCTTAGAGAACTTAAGAACTATTAAGTCCCCAAAATACATCCAAAGAACTTTTTAGAGGAAACTTATTTTTCTCCATTGGAAAGATTCACAATTAGATATGGAGGAACAGTTAAGTTTCATGTAGGCCAACATCAACTCAAAATCGTTGTGCATTTCAACGGGACATCCCCAGCTCTTCTAATAATAGACCTCTTTCCTCAGAAAGGCTTCCGGCTTGGCAGTAGCTTGTAGTAAGGAGGACGGGGGGCCGTGGACTCGTGCCAGCCCCGGTTGCTCCCTGGTGTGTTGGCATGAGATGCTGGGGGATTGCTTGAGGGTTATTGTTGGTCATTATCTCCCCAGTCATTCTGTGTCAACTTGCCCTTTTTAAGGAAGCTGAGTTGCTGCTGATAATGTGACTACTTTGTCAAAGTTCTCAGTGAGCCTTTTTAGGTTTTTAAAATTTTTTGAAGAATGGTATTCCTGGGAAAGGAAGATTTATCATGTCTCATAACTCAATTGCATTGATTGTTTATTCCAAAATATAGGGATAGGTCACTACTTGAAGTCTCAGCTCTCTGACAGTATTTTAAAATGTTTTAACAAAACACAGAATGGTATTGTGGTTATTTATTTTTTAAAAAAATATATTTTATTGATTTTTTTACAGAGAGGAAGGGAGAGGGATAGTTAGAAACATCGATGAGAGAGAAGCATTGATCAGCTGCCTCCTGCACGCCCCCTACTGGGGATGTGCCCGCAACGAAGGTACATGCCCTTGACTGGAATCGAACCCGGGAGTCTTCAGTCCCCAGGCCGACACTCTCTCCAGTGAGCCAAACCGGCCAGGGCTGTGGTTATTTTTTAAGCATACTTATATATAAAATAATTTTTATACGAGGTAATTTCTTAACATCAGAAAATACCCAGTAAGTGCTCAGATTCCTAATTGTCCCATAAATGTCATATTTTTCTAGCAGTTTCTTTGAAACAGAACCTATGGCTCAATACAGGGGGTGGATAAAAGTAGGTTCACAGTTGTGAGTCTGTGGAAGTTGATTCTTGTATTGTTATTTACTAATTATTGTAGTAACTTTCCATACAAACAACTTACTTTTGCCCACCCCTGTATGTATTTTAAGTCTCTGTAAGTTTTTTGTTAAAGAAATTGGTTTGTCCTACAGACTAGGTTTTTCTGATTGTAGTCCTTTGACTTTCCAGTAAGTTAGATCTAGAGCAGTGGTTCTCAACCTTCCTGATGCCGCGACCCTTTAATTCAGTTCCTCATGTTGTGGTGACCCCCAATTTCATTGTTACAAATGGAACATAATTAAAGCATAGTGATTAATCACAAAAACAATATGTAATTATATATGTGTTTTCCGATGGTCTTAGGCGACCCCTGTGAAAGGGTCGTGCGACCCCCAAAGGGGTCGCGACCCATAGGTTGAGAATCGCTGATCTAGAGGCTCCCCTATTCCTATTCCCACTTTTTCCCCCAAGATTACTTCACAGTTGATTATTTGTTCTTCCACCAGGAGGCATATGATACCTGGTTGACGATGTCTTTCTGGGATGTCAGCAGCCATTGCATCCTAATGCCTAGGTTCATTGGTTCTTTAGGGGTTATATTACTATGACATTCTCTCATTCTTTTTTTCACTTATTACTGGGAATGTTTATAGGGAGAAACTTTCCCTCCTGTACCAATTGGCTACGCAGTTGTATTTGTGCCATCGATAAATACACTTAGCTTTGTTCTTTTTTGTCAGTTTTCAGAATGCTAAGTTGGTTCATTATTCTCTAGTGGTAACCAGTGAGGAGCAGGGTTTTTTGTTTGTTTTTGTGAAGTGTGTTTTTCCCCCAAAGGTTTCTTTTTTAAAAAAAAAATATATTTTTTTATTGATTTCAGAGAGGAAGGGAGAGGGAGAGAAACATTAATGATGAGAGAAGCATTCATTGGCTGCCTCCTGCACGCCCCCTACTGGGGATGGGCCTGCAGCCCAGGCATGTGCCTTGACCAGGAATTGAACCAGGACCCCCTGATTCATAGGTGGACACATGGGCATGAGGTGTGTTTTTAAGTAATAAATAAACTCATAAAAAGAGGCCTATTATTATAAGAGCCAGCTGTAGAAATACAACTGTTTTGATAAACTTTATCAGTAAGCCTAAATAATTATTATTGACACTTTCAAAGGGGGAAAAGGAAAGCTTTCTCTTAGGACTTGGTACATTATAGTTGCTCAAATTGTACGACGATTAGCCCTTTGGAGCCTCTTCGGGTTGGAGCCTGGAACTTCGGACACAGTCTTCGGTAGCGCCTTGCTGTCTGGTAAGACAAGGTGTTCCTCGCTCGTCTTGGGCATTGCCTGCCCCGACACGGAATCGGCCATTTCTCCAAGGAGCGCGGCCTCCTTTTGCTGGACACCACAGCCTGGGGTTGCAGGGTGGGAGGACAGGTTTCTTTTTTTGAAGCAGGGCTCTTCGTGTTTAAAGACTGATTTAACTAGAACTAAATGGAGGCGTTCATATAAACATACTGGGGCCTCACTCTGAGATCTAAGGGGGTTGGACTGATGGAGTCCTGTCATTTTCCCTGTCTCCATAGCTATATTAAGATCCTCCTCGTGTGTAATGTACGCTTATCTTTTGTCCGGGTCTTTTTTGGGAATCTACACAGACACGGTAACATGTTGTGTCTTTCGCTTCCTGTCAGAGAGGCCAGATGGCTGTTCTCCCAGATTAAACAGTCTCAAGGTGACCTCTGTGGGGAGATCCCAGGGCTCTGGTTGGTAGACGATAAGTGTGCCCCCTTTTTTTTTCTCTATAAAACAATACACATTATTGACCAGACATATACTTTCCTAAATCCTACTCAGGGAGACTAGATAAAGAGTAATTTAATTAGGTATTGGAGAGCATGCTGTGGGTTACTCTTTCCTCTAGTTTCCCAACCAAATCAAAGCAAAAAAAAACCTTTAAAAGAAATGCCTAAGATAAAAAGGTCACTAACTCTTCTCGGTCTGAGCGCCTAGGGTCTCAGTATTTTGTTCATGGCACCCTTATGTCAAAAGAAGTACCTGACCGCTCGTGTCATTAAGCGGTCGGGTCCAGGTAAGAGTAGTAGCTAGTGTCGTGTATCACAGGTGTTGCCTTGACAATTTAAAATAATGCTGAGGGGTTCTTTGACCGAAGGACACGGTTGGGTACCCGAGGCAGGTGCACCCTTCCTTTCAGAACATGGTGGTAGACTTGACATTCGGAAAATAGCCCTCTATTTTTATTGTTTTACTTTAAAACACACACAGGACTTGACTTCTTATTTATCATAAGTGTCCAAAATAAGAGTTCATATTGAATGTGGCCTGGTTCAACCCAGAAAACTTCTCCCCACCCCTCACTCCCACCCCACACGTGCTGGGTCCCCAGCCTTGCGGAGGGGACCTCTCCGTTCTTATCTTGAGTACCTCACTCAGCACTAATGTCCCTTAGAGTTCTGTCACCACCCCCCCACCCCCACCCCTTAGCTATTTCCCCTCCAGTGCCCGGTTAATCATTCTTTATGAAACTCTCTTTTTAAATGACTGGGTGGTATCTGGCCCTGGATTGGACCCTAACCAGTATAGATGCCTAGAACGCCAGGCTCCATTTCCCCACCAGATGAACCATACAGGTCCTCCAGGGCCAGCCTAAATGACGCTTCCCCCAGCGTGTGAGTTCCTCTGTCAGGTGCTGGCCCCGCTGCGGTTACAACAGACAGGGTTCAGCTCAAGAGGAGCATCAGGACTAGAAGAAGAGCAGGATAAGTGGTCAGTGGGTTGAGTAGAGAGAAGGGTGTGTGTGTGGCGGGGGGTTGGGGGGGGCGGGTAGGGTGGTGGTGGTTGGGGGTGTAGGGATGACAAAAACTTAAAAAGAATATTTTAGTGTGTGTCTAGAAGTCAAAGGATAGATAAATGAAAATTCATGACATTGATAAACATTAACCACTTTAATGTCCATAATAGAAAAAGTACCAGGACGTGGTTTGGTTTTGTTCCTTTGTGAATATTCTTTCTCTTTTGACAAAGTATTTGAAGTGGGTGACACTTTACTTTCATCTCATCGCTGAATTCCCAAGGACGGGTACTGCATTTTATTTCAATTATCTTGCACCTACACTGCCTGTCACATAGTCGGTACATAGTAAATGTCAGTTGACTGATTAAAAGGCTAATTACATTAGTCGATAATCCTCTTGTGTTTTGTTTTCTACTCCAAGAAAGCCAGAATCAGCCGATGTTTTCTTATGCTGACAGTTCATAAACAATTACACGTGGTGGTTTTCATACTGGACATGTGAACAAAGGTTACCGATCAGTTTACTGTTTGTTTCTCCCGCCATTTACAGGTGCCATCTTGCCACTTCAGGCGCGCGTCACGCGTGTGTTAGGGACGTTATAGCACTCTCATTCTCAAGGGCCCTCATTTTACAGACGTGGAAATTGGGAATAAGTGACCCACCCAAGACCACACCGAGAAAGTGTGGCTGAGCCAGGCTTTGAGTCCAGTGACCCCCTGGCCCTGCGTGCTCCACTCTGCTGTCCGATCTCACACGCGTGGCTCCCGGGGTCACTCGGGTGCCTGCCCTGCTTGTGTGCCCACAGACATAACCCCCGGGCCTTTTCCCTCCCAGACACACAGCCTTGCACCCTCCGTGCACCGTGGCGTCCAGGCCCTTGTGAGCAGGGCGTGGAAATCTCCGAAAAGGCCACACGTCTCTTCCCATTTGCTTCTTTAACCCTTTGCGGTCGTTTGTCTGCTCTCAGCCACCACAGCAAGGAACCGTACGAATCTTAACTCTATTCATTCATGTACCAGTTCATCATTTCTCTGAAAGCTCTTAAGTGTCTAAGTGACCTTGTCACGAACCAAAACACTGCCCCGACAAATCGAAGCTATCGAAACTCAATATAAACAAGCGCGGTCGTTCCACACTCGCCATGCAAAACACCGTGGCGAGTCAGACGCCTTTTGAGAGTGAAGGAATCGACAAGCTTCGGAGATACTTCGCAGAATTTCAAATAAAGCTTTACAAATTACGTTTAACTGTAATTAGGCATTCTCGCTTGTTAAGATATTTCAAAATAATACTCCAAAATGGCAAAAAGAAAGTTACCGAAAGAAGCGTACTGCGAATCTGAAAGTAACGACGAAGAGTTTTATTTTGGCACCTTGGATACGGACTCTGACGTAGAAAGTGATAACGTTTGTAGTGATTCTACTAGTAGTGACGTAGTTCCAAAAAAGAATTAATAAATCTTGTTTATCCTTCATAATCTCGCATGTTATGTATCACTGCTCTTTCAGTGGAAATTAATTCCGACCAGTACGACACCCATGTCCAAATTGAATACGACCGCAAAGGGTTAAAGATGCCAAAAGGCTCACCCTGGCCCGGTAGCTCAGTTGGTTCGAGTGTCGTCCCCATACGCCAAGGGTGGGGGTTTGATTTCCGGTCAGAACACATACGAGAATCAACCACTGAATGCATAAATCAGCGAACAAGTAACCGATGTGTCTCTCGCTCCCTTTCTCTCTCTGTAAACTCAATAAATGAAACTTAAAAAGGATTCAGCAATCTCATCAAAGTCTGGCCACCTGCTGGAAAATTGAAATGGGTCCAGGTTATGGGAAACATTTCATTACATAAAAGTCCAATGGAAGTTAAAGCTCAGGAGAACCTACGTGCACTTTTCAACACTGACCCCCAGCTTCTCTCTCTCTCCTTAGGTGCTGTTACCCCCGTACGATGATGCCACTGTGACCAGCGCAGCCAAGGAGCCGCCCCCCCCTTACGTATCTGCCTGAGCCCGACGGTGGGCGGAGCAGAGCAGAGCAGAGCTTGGCTTTGCAGACATCGAGGCATTAGTTCTTTCTCTTCTGAGATGCGCTCTCCGAGTTATTTGTTGCTGAGATGTTGCAACTTAAATTTTTAGCGTTAAGTTGAAACCCTCTGTATTTTTAAACGTATGCTTTAGCTAGAGCACTGTGATAGGTTAGCTTCCCCGGACGCCCTGGGCGCCGATTCCCGGCAGTCTGGGTGGACTTGAGGCAGAGAAGTCTGGTTTTGTACCCCTAGGCCTCAAGTTGGGGGGATTCATCACATTTTTTTTCCTCTCTGTTCCCTCTGTCTCTTTCAAAAGTATCAAATAAAATCAAAATGAAACAATACTTTTCTTAAGCCTCTCCGGTGTGTGGAAGAAATCCTTGAGAGAGCAGGGCTGTTAATGGTGAATCAGTGCTCCAGTTGGGGAAATAGGAGTCCATTAGTGTGTCTAAATAAAACAGGAATTTCCTTAAGAGCCTTGATGGCATCAATTCAGGGACCATTTAGATTTGTCCATGGGCTAAATTGAGACTCTCTGACAATCCCCGGCAGTGAGAGAGCAGCCATGGCACGTGGCTGTTCCGGGCACCCCGGGTCAGCGGTCATGGAGGGGAGTGTCTCGTCCGAGTGACGGGGCGAACCGATGTGTTAGGCGCTGCACGGCACCCCGCGCTCCCTGTCTCCAGGTATCCTATCCCCGCCCGGCCCTCTCACTGCATGGTCTGGCCCGGCCTGCCTCCGGGATGTCCGTCTCACTTTGTCAGGGGGCACTGCTGGTGGGTACTTACAAAATCCTATAAGAAGGTTTCTTCTCTCCCCGCCAGGCACATCCTACTGCTTGGAACTTCCAGCTATGCCTAGTCATCTTTCAAAGTGAGTGTAGAATGATCTGCAGAAAAATGAGAAGGGGCGCTTTTCTAGGGACCCCCCCCCCCCACCTTGACTACCTGGATTTCAGGGGACTTTTATGTATTCGTAGATGGAAGAGTCCCAGCTCCTGTTTTGTTTTTTTTTCTGTTTTTTTTCCCCATTATTCGATGTGCTGTACATGAAGGCTTTTACAATTAAAGTGAGATTTGCCCACACCCAAGAATTGGCTCTGGCGGCTGTGCCTTGGGACCCTTTCCGCCCACATGGCCGAGCCTAAGGAGGAGGTTTATGGCTTGTTTCACACACGGGCTCTTTAATATTTCAGTGCTGATGAAATCAGAACGCCTTCGGCCAAGAGAAATGGAGACAAACAGACCTGAGCCTCCAGCATTCCTAACCCTGGCCTCTACCAAGCTCCGTGTGCTGAGCTGTTTTGCATGTGGTTGCTTTGTGTTCCGAAGTGCACTTTTAATGTGCAGCTCAGATTTTACTACAGTGGGAGGGAGATTAAACGTTAAAGAGAGGTGGGGGTGGGGGGAGATCTGTATACCTGAGAGTCAGCCTCAGTTATTTCTCATGACATACCTCTTTAGTGTTTCTGTATAAACTCAACCTAAGAAGTTCTGTTCCTTGGTGATTTATGCCCATAAGATTCACACTGAGTTCATCATAAGGGTCATTAGGGGTGGAAAAGGCCTATCAGGTCGTTTCACTGATCCCTTGTGTAAGGCATGTTGCTATCCATCATCTTCTAGCTTTTTTGCATAATTTTGCAGCATGAAGAACAGCACATGGTAAACGGAGAGAAGTGCTGATTCTGAGTCCCTGGAGGGTGGTCTGAGAAGTTCTTGTTCACGTGACAAACAGCACCATAGACGTCAGGATACCACTTCCTACTCGGGTCCCAGGTGCTGCTGGTGCGTGACCCAGGCTACGCTGCAGAGCTGCCTCTACAAAGTAAGGAATTGCCGCCACCGTGGGAGGTGGTGATGTGGAGAGCGCACTCCATGCTTCAGGAGATCGTCCGGTCTTTGTCTCGTTGCTGATCCAGATACTCATCTTTACACCCCACTTTAATATCTAGCTTCTTTTTCCTGTTGTCTATAGAGAAACAAGAATACTTACTGCCCCAATTGTTCTCATGCCTCTATACCTCTGGTCACTTTCCTGATGAGACAGGCATCCTTGGTTTTTTCCATCTCGACCCTTTCTCCATCCCCCACCTTCACCTCCCCCACCCCCCCTCCACCAATTCCTTATTTTAAGGTCATGGACATTCCGCTCAGCCCCACGAGGTGTCCACCAGCCCTCAGCCCTTGCCAGAGAGAAAGCCATAAGTAAGTCCATCTGCTGGGGCAGAGGGAAGAGGAAAATGTGCTCCTTTGGCTTAGGCTGTGGACTGTCCACCTGAGAGACCGAGCTGCTGTTTGTTGAACAAGCCAGCCAGACTTCCAGAGTGCCGGGTCCCGGGCGAGTCTGAAGGCCGATAGACCACCCCCCCCCCCCCCACCTTCCCTTCCCCTCTTTTGCACCTGCCTGCATAGACATGTGCAGGATCCCCGCCCGCCCATCTTCTCTCCTTGTCCCTGCCCCCCACCCCCTGAAAATCTAAGACTTTCCCCTTCCTTTCTGCACTCTCTCTCTCTCTCTCTCTCTCTTTTTTTTTAAATATATTTTATTGATTTTTTACAGAGAGGAAGGGAGAGAGATAGAGAGTCAGAAACTGCCTCCTGCACATTTCCCACTGGGGATGTGCCCGCAACCCAGGTACATGCCCTTGACCGGAATCGAACCTGGGACCTTTCAGTCTGCAGGCCAACACTCTAGCCACTGAGCCAAACCGGTTTCAGCTGCACTCTCTCTTTTTACTCTGTTCTGGCCCTAAACACTTTTTTAGTTGGACTGCTTAACCAAGCCACACCTAGTTTCATTTGTCTTTTCCTCTCCACCCTCAGGCCGCTAATACATTGGACTAATGATTTCCGTAAACCTTCTTTATAGACTTGTAACCATTAAAGTTGTTTTCTCCATAGAGGGATGCACTGTATTTGAAATAGCCTTCAAGACAATAATCCTGCTGTGCAAACAGAGCTTCTGTGGTAGAGGGAAACAAATGAGATTGATAAAGACATTATTTCCACTTCTGAAGAATGATGTGTTCGTTTTTGCAGCTGCCCTGGAAACGGACTTAAACACCATGAGACAATGTTTCTGCGGGTCACGTAGGCATCTGATGTCCTGGAGGGTTGAAGGCAGGGCCTTGGCCAAGGTCTGGGAAGAACTCGGGCAAAAGTGCTGCCCACCTTCAGACCTAACGGGCACCCAGAGTCGTGCCTGTGGCTGTGTGAAATGGGCGTTTGGCAGCTCAGACGCACCTTCTAAAAGGGAAGGAAAAAGGCATTGCGAGGATGTCTCCACGCCCATGGAATTCACTGGAAGTGTTTCTGCCCACTGGCCAAGTTCTCAGCCAGATGACTGGTGTGCGGAAGCCAGCCAGAGCTGCGACTTTCTGTCCAGAAGCCCGCGCATGCCTCGGACTATGGTACGCAGAGAACAGAGAGAAGCTGGCTGGCCAACCCAGAAGTTACATCAAAGCAAAAGTCTCAGCACTATACACCCATCGACGTGGTCCTAATTAGCAAGCAGAATGAAGAGTTTGGCTTAACACCATGGAATCAAGTTTTGTTTGTTTTATCCCATCTAAAACTCGCACTTAAAAAAAAAAAAAAGTCATTAACAGTACAAACACAGTTTTTCACTTAAGTAAACTTACCAAGATGGGAACCTCTTAAACTCGACAAATAAAATGACAACTAACATATAGTCCTTACTGTATGTCGGGTATAATGTTGCAAAGAGTTGGAGGGAGTTGTGTGGGCTTGAGCCAAATTTCCTGAGAGGCTGGGATTGACTGTGTCATCATCTTGTCTGCTACTTGCTGGTCACAGGCCTGGTGCTGTGACGTCTCAGCTCCCGTTATGCTTGCTCAAACTTGAAAAGTCACTTGAAGAGTGGCAGGTCCTGCATTCCTGGGACCCTAGAGTCATTCAGTGCACCGGATCTCCAGAGCCAATAGGGTTTCCACCGTGGCCTCCCTGCTTGAGGAGACCCCATCTTGGCTCCAGGGAGAAAAAGGGACAATGGGTCTGCCCTCTGTGACCAGCAGCAGTACAAAGGACCCTGTGTCCTGCACGGTGGGGACGCCTCCCTGACCCAGTGGCATTTGTGTGATGTCATTTTTCACCCAGAATTCATTTTCCCTAAAGGAATGCCGTGTTAATGACTCTTTGTCACCATTTTACTTTCATGGGATGTCTCTTAGCTTTAAGCCTTTTTATTACATTGATCTTTTCTACCATACTGGCAGCTCTGGCCCTGTTTTTGTCAATGATCCCAGTCTTTCCTATCTCAATCTATTGACATTTCATATTGTGCCCAAAATGGAAACTTGGCCTCAATTTCCCCTGCATCTGCTTCTGTGGATTTGTGTAGCTGTTGGTGGCTTCTCCCTCATTCCAGGCATCTCGGCTTGAGGCCATAGGCCTTCTTTATTCTTGTCCCTCTGTCTCTCCTCAGATCAACCCAGTCCCAAGCCCTGTGGCTTCTGCCTCTATCCGGGTAGAATGACATTTGCCATTTACTGAGCCCTTTCCATGTGCCAGCCATGCTGCTGAGCATTTTACATGTTTTAAATTATCTTACGGATGAGGATATTGAGGCCAAGGAAAATTAACTTGTTGGTCCCCAGTCATGCCAGTTATTGGCAGAGCCAGGATTGAAATGCTAATGGGTGTTTCATCCTTTGGAGATATCTATAATTTTGGGATTCTGTACATAACCTCTCACTTCTTACTAACAGCGGTTGACTTCTGATAAGAGCGATCTCTCCCGAGAAGGAAAGGAAGTCATGCGAAGCCGTGTGAGCTTTGTAAACTTGGGGTTTGCGTTACCTACCCAAGTAAAGCTATCAGTGTCCTATTTAATTAGACTAGGAAATGCTCTGCAAGCATCAGCTTTTAATGGTCACAAAGAGTTTATTCAGGCAGGAAGAAAGATCAACCGAGATGGGCCTTTCAGGGGGTTCATTGCTTCAAGTGAACAGTTTCCTTCTGAGGAACTTAGCTGACATCTTAACCCCTAGGGTGCCGGGGAGCGCCTTCGCGCGCCTCCTGTCTTTCGCCAAAAGTGCTGGGAGCACTTTCGCGCTCCTCCTGCAGTGTCACTATTAGATGCTAGTAGTTCACTCTTTATGTGGGGAAAAAAAATTTAAAAACCTTAACTCAAAATGCCTTGGCAATTTTAGCATAGTTCCTAGGATATTGATTGGCACTCAAAGGGTTAAACTGCACTGATTTATCTTTTTTGAGAAGAATATACATATTGAATTTTCAAACGGAACTCGGAACTCGGGCTAGTGAGTAGAACATGATTTGTTTGCACTGTCTTAGAGGACTAGTGGGGGCCTCAAGACTCAACTTCCTTCC